CCGTAAAGAGAGCAGGAGGAAGAGAGCGAAGGACTTTAAATAATTGGCATTCCTCTTGCTCTTGTGTTTTCTCTCCTCTCTTCCAGATTTCTCCACAGTCTCCGGGGGGGAAGCGGGAGCATCAGTGATACACCGCCGCGCGCTCCGCTGCAGGAGGCTGGCCGTCAATCACACAGGTAACCTAGGGAACCGCTGGGCCCGTCCCCTAGCCAACGCTGATTGGCCGGCCGAGGGAGAACCAGAAGTCACAAGTCCTCGCAGATCCACAGATGGGTACCGAGAGCTGTGGTGGGATCATGTACAGAGCCAAACAAACAGTACTGGATTGCAGTACTTGTGAACTCTCTTTCTCTCCTCTCGGTCATTCTCTCTCTCTCTCTTTCTCTCTCTGACTCCAGAGCCTGCTGCTTTATTTTACAGTTGCCTAGCAACACACTGGCATGTGTGAGTGTGAGTGTGTGTTGCAGAGCAGGAGGAGAGATGTGGGAGAGAAAAAGGAGTTCAAGTCCTCAACTCTCTCTCTGTTTCTGTCTCTCTCTTTCTTTCTCTCTCTCTCTCTCTCAGAAGTGTGGATGGATGTTGAATATTTCAGCTCTCAGCAGCAGCAGGACTCTGTCTAATTATTATGGAGGCTGTTGTTGCTTCAGAGCAGCCTGGACTGTATACGCAGCATTGGGAGTTAGTTAAAGGACAATTTCACATTTTTTTTTAAGTGTGTCAGGTGATCATGTGAACACTAAAACAGTATTCTCCTCCTCCACTTAATGCTTGCAGAGAGGCAATGTTGTACTAAAAATACTGTTACTTTGGGAGATCTCCACGATGATTTGTCTAACTCAGTCTATGAAACCTCAAATTATCTTCAAATAAACTTTAGAAAGTGTTTGTACAAAGAACGAGGACAGTGCCCCCCATCACTTACATTTAAAAGGGATCTCTTAATAGCCTGTACGAACATGAGAAATAATTACCAGTAACACCTGTTTCAGTGACATATATGGGCGCCTGACCTTTGCTTTAAGACAGACTTGAAAAATTGTGAACTTCTCCTTTAATGGCAGAGGAGACAAAATGGCACAAAATACAGACAACGCTACAGAGCACCTTAGATTTTAAGGGGTTCTTGCAGAGAAAGCAGTGCTCACTTTGTATCATAAAACATAATTAATAATAAGTTATTTTTAGTCACTTTTCAGTATACTTTATATAAAGTGTAAATATGCAGAGTGGTGCAAAGGGTTCCCAAAGAACAAGTTGTTAAAGGTTATACAGAGGTTGAAGGGCAGAGTTCATCATCCTGATGATCTGAGGGAAGGTGGTTTTTCTGAAGGTCAGAAAAACTGAAGTCATTATTCCTTTATCGCTACCTTACCTCCCTAGAGGCCAAAAAGAAAGCCCCTGAAGTTGTTTCAACAATCTAATCTTTCACATTTACCATAGTCAGTTCACTGTTCAGTTACATGTCCTAGAATTTTGCTTCATATTCATTTATACCTTCATAAATCGCAGCATTAAAGTCAAAATGTTGTTTTAAAAACCCTCCTCACACTCTGTAAATATATTGGCACTATAATACTGGAATCAGCTTATAAAACATAAACTCCTCCTATCTTTCCTAAAAAACCCTGAATCCCCACAGGAAATAGCGATGACTGGACCTCAGAGACGGCTGCGACCCTGGTTGTCATATTACATTAATGGGATCGAACTTTACCTAATTTACTTAACCTCTGTATTTCCTCCAACTCGTCATCCTCTCCGCTGCACCGCTCTGTGCAGGAGGAACTTTGGTTCACTGACTGTATAATCTAAAACGTACGAATGACAAATTTAATGTCACTGAAACACAAACAGCACTTTCAAATCACATTCTGCTATTGAGATAATGACTGCATTTCTTTGATGTGACAATCACTCAGCAGCATTAACGCAGGTGATGCAACACTCAAGCTTTCAAAGCGGCATCTGACTCTCTGATGAAAGTGGAAGTGTTTGTTTGAAATGACAAGAAAAAACTCTTTCATTTAATCTTTAATTGTAGTGCATGAACTGTTTCAGTTATATCCAAGGTTGAAGAGCTTATGGCACCAAAGGGCTGAGCACTGCAAAGACTAAATACTACTAAATCTACAGTTTGAGGTGCTAATCCAACCAAAATCTGTCTTTGTGATATGTGCGGTTACGAAGGATGGAAATGTTTTCAGCAGCAGAAAAGTATCAAAACGCTCAAAGAAACGTCTCAAACCACTCAAACAAAACCCACGTCTGTCTATTCATGACGTCAGTATGCTCACAATGGACCCACAATCCTGCCGAGCTCCTGTGCCGACGCACAGACTGGTTAGTGAAGGTTAGAGCTCCACAATCATGCGCTTTCACTCATATAAGACCTGCTCAGTAATTGCATTGAAATTTTCCAAACCAAGTGCATGCTAGTTCTGTAGAAAAGTGCACGATGCTGTTGTCACTGCAGTGCTGAAGTTGCCACAACCCCTCAGTATAGGAGTAGAGCTGGTTGTACACACAGCTGCCAGCAGGGGGCGCTGTTTCAACTGAATAGAGGATTAAGGATTAAAGGGGCAGGAGAAAAACATACTGCTTAAATGCTTTAATGCTAGACTACACCTGATGGTCAGGAGACAGGAGTACATTTAAAACTGAACTAAACTCGGCTGATGTTGGAACAGATAAAAAAAAATTGGTGTGCACCTGATATGTGACAGACTTGGGTTCGACACGAGTTCGCCCCTCTAGATCTGAACACAGATCAGCAGAGTCTCTACGAAGCAGGTGGACGTGTGACGCTCCTCTCAGAGGAACTGTCCTCATAGAGACTGTCCTTGTAGAGTCCTGAACTAAAATCCTGTGCAGCCAGGTGTTCCATTACCCACCTCTGTTATCTAAGAGCAGTACGCTACAGCAGTGTGGAAACGGTACTGTGTGAGCATTTGAACATAACGTTGTTTGTTTCTCACATCTGGGGAGTTTCATAATCAGGTTTTGTTGGGTTTTATTTTGTTGTTCTTAATGTCAGATTACTGTTTGTTGTCAGAGTGAATGTACTCACTGAGGTCCAGGCTTTTTCTGTTGTTGCTTCAAAGTCAGACATCCACTGCACAGCTGCAGGCATCCTCTCAGAGTGTTCACTCGAGGGTGAGAAAACATCATGCAGCCTGAGCATGTTTATAAAAAGAAAAGAAAAAAAAAAAAAGAAAGAAAAAGCCATATTATAAATATTCAAAAGGACAGAAGAAAACACATGGGCAGCGTTAAGCTTAATGTGGTAACCAAGGGTACTCTACCACTGGAATCCAAAGAGCAGCAATAATTACTTGCCTATAATGAATTAAACAAGGTAGAAGCAGTAGTATACATGTGGAAATGTACTGCACTCAGCTGATAGCAAATATGATTATTGTTAAGGACAATCTATGCCTTCTGTAAAGTGAAATCTGACAGGGCCGTCCTTACCAAAACTAGAAATCATAGGAAAACCGTAGGACACAGTCGGTGGAAGGCAGATTCTTTTAATACTTTGATGGTAGAACTCATTCAGAAATCAACGAGGTCCGAAGCCAATCACAGAGTCCAGTGTCCTGGTCTTTAGGTCACTTGTCTCTCTCACAAACTGACTGGACTCTGCTGGGGAACACGGTGATATGACCCTTCTATTCTTTAAAGAAAACAGGCTCTGGTGCCTCCACATGCTGCTGAAAGCTGCTGTGTGTCTAAAGGCTGATACTGCAACTCTAACACTACATGACCTTTGTCCATATTATCACTACTTCACATCATTCAGCAATGACACTCTTTTTTCTCTCTCTGTTCCACTTCAATGCACTCTGATATAATAAACCCTCTTCCATGAAAGCACTGCTTTTTATTTCATGTACAGCTTGGAAACAGAAGTGTCATGTCCCACAGTCTGTGTCTGACAGGAACATGATGTGTTAATAATATGCATATGTATAACAACAAAAACACACATCACAAACAGATGCGTTTAAATCTATTCAGCTGTATTCCTTGAGTGCAGCCTATAAACATGACCTTTTGTTGGATATGTATTGATTTATAAGGTCTATTTAATATTCATTTAAAACTTTTTTTTTTTTTTTTTTTTTACAGGCCACTGAGAGACGCCCAGATTAAAATACAAATATATATAAATGTAAAAACAATTAAGCAATATAAAGTATAATAAACAATAAAAGCAATATATAAAAGCAATAAAACACATAATATAGGACATATTAAGTAGATAAAAAACAATATATGCATATAAAAGTTGAAGCTCAACTAAAACACACACATTATAATGATAACTGGATGAATAATACAGTAAGTAGCAGGTAATACAAATCATACACTTCACACAAGATCATATTTAAAGCCCAGAAAGTCTAAGTGTTGTCTCTTTGAGTATTCTTCATGAGCTAAAGCCCCAGATCTTCTTGTGGAATGATTCTCTGTTTATATCCAAGCTGTTTTTCAGAGATTTGAAAACACCTTTAGGCTGTGGATTTAGTTTTGGTGGAAAAGTGTAAAAATAACACTTGTAACAAAATGGCATTGTTCGTGAAGTATGCAGGTGCAAAAGCCAGTACGTTCAGAAGAACTCACCACAGCCTCACAACAAAGTCACTGGCATGGTGACAGTTACCAACAAACATAAAAGACAGCAACTCAGTAGTGGAGGAACAAACCAAACATGTTTTACAAGCTTTAAATGAACTGAGCCTTCTGTGTAATCTAGAAGAATAATAAGAGGAGTTTGTGGGGTTTTTTTTGTTCTCCTCTCTGCAACAATCTTCTGGGACCTAAAATTGTTTCGTGTACGACTTTGAAGTGAGTTATTCCTACTGTATTTCAGTTTATGGGTTGGTTATCTTATTTCATCTTTCTTCTGGTGTTTTTTTTTTGTTTTTGTTTTTTTTCACTCCGCAGCCCAGTTTTGGTTCTTGGTTGGATTCTTTAGAAAACACCAGCTTTGACACCAGATGGAGGAGGAGTTGATCTGTGGAGCCTGCAACATGGTGTTTCACTCCAGTGAGCTGCTCGGGAAACATACAGCACTGTTCTGCATCGGTAGCGAGGTCAACGGTGGAGGTGTGGACCCTAAACAGACGAGAACCCCTGATCTTGGTCAGGTAAACACCTCAGCAGGGTAGAAGGTCTCTGGTAACTGAGCGACCTGACCCATCCATACAAACAATTGAAGTGATCAGAGGGTTAGAGTTAAATGACTTTGTCTGTAATTAGAGGGCTCGTGATTCTGCACATGATCCTTTACTTATTAGAGGCTTTAGAATATGAAGTTGTGAACTTACCGTGAATATGATGCGTATTGTTGTGAGGGGGTCTTCAGGACAGAACATGCTTCTGTGAAGAGAAACATATGAGAAAAATGAAATGATTGTGCACCAGAGTGTCTCTAAAGTAAGGTCGATTGAGTATAATAAATTTACACAATGAAAATCCAATTTTCACATTCAATTTTCTGGGGTTTTTTGATAACCAAAACAACCACCAATAAATTCCTGGATTTTTTTTTTTTCTTTAATCATAAACCAAAATTACAAAGCCCTAAATTTTAAAGCACTTCTGTAAAACTCCACCAGTATGGCCTCAATACAGCTGAATCAACACAAGCATACACAAGTATGTCTAACAAACTTAACATTATAGCTTCAAAAGACAGGATTCATTGCATGACTTCTGCATTGTACTGCAAGTCAGACATAAGAGATGAACAGAAGTGAATTCTAGTTTTTGGTGGATGCTCTCTTTACCAAGCTGGTTATATGCAGCATCTCTGTTACTGTGATTAAGAGACGGATGAATCTGAAAACCTTTCGTGTGCCTTTGTGTTTGTGTGTGCAGATGAGGGGTCAGAGGAGGAACGTCATCAGGCGGAGGAGTGTTGACGCCGAGCCAAAGGCAGGAAAAGCAGAAGACAAAGCAGCGAGCAGTCAGACGGACGGAGCTGCTGTGCGAAATCTGACTGACGAGGTAAAACTGAACCACTGTGCCAACCACACTTCACCCATTCTGCGCCACAGCAACGTCGACACCTGAAACACACCGAGCGTTTTCACCCATCCCCTGTCCCCAGTGAGCCAGCATTGTTTCATTATGTAAGAGGTATTTTCAGATACAGTCCAGTTGCATATGTTGCATTGTAAAGATCAACCTGATTCATAAGAACTCAAGGGGGATGAAGGTGTCAGTGCAACATTTTGTGTATTTTTGTTGTCATTTTACCAAGCACTGCAGGCATGTCACAGTCTTTGATTAAAAATTCATGTCTGAATATAATTATGTCAGTCATGACAGACTGGAAGAGCAATTTCCAAAAGGGATTAAGCAGGGTATTATATTATACAGACATACAAATATATACACAGCCAAGTATTTTTTTTTATATTAAATTATATTTCTTTTGTTACATTAAGATTACAACATGATTTCTCTCTTCTGATGTTCAGTTTCACAAGTTGAGGATGTCCATTGAGGAACATCTGCCAAACCGGTCAAAAAGGAACACACATGCTGAGGTAGGCTCAATGGTTCTCCCCTTACTGTACTATTCAGCCTATATGGTACATGATAAGCACTGTCACGTATGTCAAGATAGTGCTCACATTTCTTCTATATTGTAAAAGCTCTTTAATAATAGACTAAGTCCTCATTCAGTGGTGTCAGACTGAGTTACAGGTCACCCATTTTAATGACGCTGGGTCTCAGGGTGACAGAAGAAATGAATCGTCTTACTCCAGGGTGCAACATGTTTAAGAAGCAATGCTGTGCATAAATCTATCCATTTATAAACATGGTCCTTAGGCGAGTGGGTGTCATCTGGGTCACAGTGAGAGACTGAGGGAGATGAGGGAAATGGCGACGCTCCACGAGCGACAACTGGCCCTGATACATGCTCACAACCAGCAGCTGGAGCAGCAAAGAGATGGTGAGGAACAAATGCTATAAGCCGCTTGAGTCCGAAATTCTATGCTGGGAATTAAAGGCAATGTGAGGGCTTGCTCTTAGACTCTGTGTGTGTGTGTGTGTGTGTGTGTGTGTGTGTGTGTGTGTGTGTGTGTGTGTGTGTGTGTGTGTGTGTGTGTGTGTGTGTGTGTGTGTATCAGAGCTGGCCCAGCAGGTAAGTGTCCTGTCTGAGCAGAGCAATGCAACTCACCTGGAGAGTCTGCTGATGGAGCTGAGAGAGCAGGAGGAGAGGAACGAGGAAACACTGCAACAACTTGCTGAACATCTCCATGCATTACAGTAAGTGTGCGTGCGTGAGTGCGTGCGTGCGTGCATTGTATTTAACTATAATGTGCACATCTGAACTTTGAACTGCACTTTGCTTAGTTCTATATTTGACATTGGTCATAATTTTCCGCTTCTGTAAATACATAATGGTAGCTGTGTGTCTATCTTTGGCTTGATGTACTACTGTTCTTGCAATTTATAATAAGTATATTGATTTTTTTATACATTTAAATTGCTTATATGTCCACCACTATAGAGATTGTCTCATTCCTGGGACCTGTGTGTTTAATGCCTGCCTGCAAACCAACTCTTCTTTGGGTGATAATGACACTGAAGTTGACGATCATAAGTTTACAAACACATTTCACACACATCTGCAAAGTAACTACAGCTGTAAAATAAATGTAGTGGAGTGAAAAGTACAATATTTTATTTTAAAACACAGTGGTTCAACACAATGAAGGATACATAAAAAGAAGAATAAAATGCAAATACCCAAGTAATGTACAAGCCTTTAAAACTGTACGCAGTATGTAGTGATATCACAAAGTGCGGATTTAGTGTTTCAGTGTCTTGCTCAAAGACAAACCAACAGGATACACAACATCTTAGAATCCAGAGAGTCAATTTGAGTCTCTAACCACTAACTGTGCTGCCACAACAGACACAGGCTCAACAAAGAGTTTATTTAATGTGTGTTTTCTTAGGGTGAATTATGTCCACACACATACTTAAGTAGAGAAAAATGACGGCCTCTGCAGCGCTCTGCCACCAAGAGTATTATTTTGTGAAATTTGTATGTTTTTTTTCGAGGCTTGTATGACTCAGAGCATCAATTCTGTGTTTTATTATTCCCGGGTAGTTCCTTCTTACAACATTTGTGGTAGAACAGATTGATTTTGTATTGCAGTTTCTGGCTGGGAGACTTTCCATGGATGTCACAATATGATCTAATTTAGATGATCTACTGTGTTTTTGCTTTTCTTCTTCTTTTCAGTGTGCAAAAGGTCCCTGTACCTGCTGATCAGCCAGATCCAGGCAAGAACAAAAAGATGCATCATGACAACTACGAGCTCATTTCCTCTGTAGCCGGCCCTCTCTCTACCCAGATAAAGTATAAACCTACATCCATCCATGGGAGATTATTCTAAAACCAACTGGAAGAAAACCCTGTTCCTGTGTCTTCTCTGTCTGGTTGTTTCCATGTGAATATGAATTAATTCTACTGAGCTGCCCTGCTATGTATGAGGGTAAATCGGGTGTCTTTGTTGCAGAGCCTTGCAACAGGCATACGTCCAGTCAGGTGGGTCAGATCCAGTCATTGTGGCACAGATGATTGACCTGCAGGCACAAGCCCAAAGTCTGGAGACGAACCAACCAGCAGCGTCCACCAAGGCCAGGAAGAAGAGTAAGAATGACGATGACAGAGAGTAAATATGTAGTTCCTGTCACTGTGATACTCTATGTCAATACTGCTGCACCCAGTGAAACCTTTACTAAGTTTACTCTACTTGATATTTCCACATTTCCAATAAATTCTGTACTAATTCCACGATTATTAGATTCTGGTCCAACATTTCTTTTCACATGATCAGTTATAGAAACCGAAACATAATGAATGCAAAACACACACTGAATTAGAGAAATGTGCCAAAGGGCAACAAAGATGATGATTCTGATACTTAGTTCACGCTGCAGATTCATGGTATAAAACTGAGAGTAAATTACCTTTTGAACGTGAGCCACATCATTGTCATCCTCATTTCCAGAGTTGAAGCCTCGTCAGCGGTGTCCGAGCCTGGAGTTGCTGGTTTTGGAGCAGGAGAACCAGAGGCTGGAGGAGGAGATCCTCAGGATCCAGCTGGCCAGAGAGAGAAACCATGACTATGAAGGTGGTCATTGTAATAAAGCACACAGCTCTTATTTTCAATGTTTTTCACAAGTAATTCGTGGCTGAATGTGTGAGTACAGTCCAAAAATCATGCAGTTTTTAAGTGTTGTTAACCTGCTGATGATGGGGATCACCAAAGTCATGACACTTGGCTAAAATTTTTTAATTAAGACATTTTAGATCTACAGGCAAAAGCTCTCTGACTTGCATAAACTAAACACTGCTGTGCACTAGAAGAATATATGGGTCAGTAGTAGTCATACAGGTTTGCTGTTAGTTAAGACATGTTGTGTTTGCATGCTCTGCAGCAGCAGCGAGGACTGAGCTCGGGCTGATTCAGAGGGAGAATCTCCAGCAGCTTTCCAGTTTACAGGCAGAGATGGAGAGAGGCAAAGAAGCTCCCTGGCCCTGGAGACAGCCTCCTCCTCCACCTCCACCTCCCCGTCCACTCCCACTCCAAACCAAGACTCACATTCATGCACCTCTTTCACTGGTACATAATTTGCAATTTCAGTCAAGCATGTTTATGAAGTCTGCTTTTGCAGCCAAATCCTCTAGATTAACGACTGCTCAGTAATAATTTACTGACAGTTTTTGACAGTCGTTGTCTGTCATGATTAAATAATAATCTCCAGGTGAGGTCCTGCTCCTCTCTGTCAGGAAGAGGCAAGATGGACCCACTGGACTCTCTGGATCCAGCACCCTACGACCCAGCGTCAGTTTAATTCTCCACACCACCCACACATACATCCATCCATATATATATATATGTATCAATCATATCAAATCCTCTACAAATCTGTCAATGTTGCAGCTCTCTTACCTTTCTTTAAATTTAACTGAGTAAATAACATCTTCTGGTCTTTCAGAGCTGGTTTTGTGGTTTTCTTTGACCTGGTTCTGGGACTTGATGCCTCTCTGAAGGCGTTGCGTCTGGTAGCAGCTGTCTACTCAGAGGGTCTGCAAGTGGGACCTCCGACTCCGCTGCCCCCTGTCCAGTGCCTTCGGGGAGTGTCCCTGCCTTACAGTCACAGCCTCACCCATGGAAACTGTGCACTCCTGTCAGTCAAACAGCCTGCACCCAGGTAGGAGCACCACCTAAAGAAAAGAAATAGTATAAATATGAGTACATGCACCTGCAATTAGCATGTTGTAGTCTCTAGTTTCATACATGTATAATAACCCCCCCCCCCCAACAACTCCCCTGCAGGATCCAGCCATCACCCTCCCTCTGTCTGGTGGTGGAGGTGCAGGCAGCAAGCCATCTGGATGTTTATAACCAGGAGGTCTTCAAAATGGCGTCCTGTGGCTGGATACAACTGGAACTCTTTGATCAATACAACCAGGTCCATCTGCATATTCAATGACATGTTTATACATGTTAATATTATTAATGGTGGAAATTGATTCTACACTAGCAGAATATGTGGAATACTAGAATAAGGCCTGGCCTCTCATTTGTAGGTTCACAGCCATTATTTACCACTTATTAATCAAGTGGTGTATAATGGCTGTGGCCTAAATAGTAATTCTTTATTTATTTCAAGACAAAATGTTCAAACCTCTGCACCTCACCTGCAGGGGTATTTAGGAAATTGACTGCACCATCTGGCAGAGCTTAGTCTTAATCATCCAAGTCTAAAATGATCTGAAAATCACCATCTGCTATTTTTGTTCATGTGCACACTTTAACCATATTGAACCATTACTGAATACTCTGGCTTATGTGTTACAATGTTTTATTTTCTGAACTCCAACAGCTTCGTAGCGGCCACTGGAGGGTGCCAGTGCGCAGGCTGCCTATTAAACCTTCACTAAGCATTGCCCAGCTCAACTCAGTACCCCAGGTATGAGGACACCCAAGAGTTATCAGGTTCAACAGCAATTCAACAGCAAAAGAGAAATTTGAGCAGTTGTTTTTATGGACTTTTTGGTTTATGTTGAAGCAAGGTGGTTAATTATAGGCCTTACTGTGTGTGTTTTTCTGTAAACTTAAGGTGGGCAACATGGAGCTGTGTGTACGTTTGGTCAATGGTCGAGATGGAGACGTGCAGACCCTTGCAAAGCCTGACCCGACCAGCACGGGGCACTATAAATACCCAGCTGTGGTAGGTTAAGGGACTTAAGAGGGGATCCAGTTTTTTTTTTTAAAAATAGTCAATTTAACTGTTCTGTACTAGTAGCCAACTTATTGGAAGCAATTATAGCTAAATAATTTTGTTTTGAGTTATGCACAAGAGACAGGGTAACATCCAGTGATGTAATGCGAGTCATTTGATCACTGCTGCAATGTAAAGAAAGTTCCTCTTTGTCATCTTTAGGTATAAAAGTGTCACTACTGATAAGTCTACATATGTACAAAGATTTTGTACATTGTAAATCCTCTATAGAGAAAAGGCAGTACAGCAATGTATTACAGGAAATGTAAGTAATGGTTTTCATAACAACTAATATTTGGACAAACAAATGCAATTTTACCCTCGACAACAATACGAGTGTCACCTATGGATTCTCTATCTTTGGAAGCAAGTGCATGTTGCTTTTTTTTTTTTTAAATGTGCTGTTGGGTTTACCTCATGTCTCCATACAGGTGTCCCCTCTCGCTGCAACTGTCCACAGAAATGCAGCTCTGCCGGTTTCAGCTCCACAGCCCACAGGAGCAGATGAGCTCTCCTCCCTGCTGACCTCGACTGATCTCAGAGACCCTCCACCCACAGATGAAGCCAGTCAGAGTTGAAAGAGACAATCATGGCATGCAGAAAATGTCTCTACAATGAGGGTGTATCAGATATGTCAAATGTCAAACTTTGATTACTGTGCGAAAGTGTAAACAAGGGCTCCTCTTACTTTCCTTTTGGTGCAGTTGAAAGGCGCAGGGGTCCACAGTTGAAGCAGAGATATACAGGACAGGTCGTAAGATGAATTTAGCAGCACATTGATGGAAAAGAGCACATGAAATTTAACAATGTCCCACATTAAAATTAAGCGGTACATTCTGACAAAAGTAAATTTGACATCTGTGACCAACCATTAATCAACTGAAATAAAATGTCAGGGAACAGTGTCAAATGCTCACAAGGTCCTTGAACCCATGGTGATGTTTTCAATTTCTTTTATTCCCCCTACAGTCCAAAACTTAATGTTCAATTTACCATTTTAGAAGATTCTAAGAAAACCAAAAATACACATTTTAAAAAAAGGTCAGGTTTTGTGGTGCTGTGAGCCCAGTTAGATAATTGACAATCATTGCAGATTGTCTGCATATAGACTGTAGCAGCTTTTGTTGGGTTGGAGCATTCACTCGGACTGTTATTTGTACACTCAAATTACAGAGATAAATTCTTGTGGCAAAAGCCTATCAACTCCGGATATTATCAATTTATGACAAGTTATTACATATTTGCTATATGAATATCATTAACCCAAGTAACTTAAAGTAAGATGACACATTCAGGTGTGGCCACGAAACTATCAGTGCACATTTCATTTCTTCTGACAGGAAGAGCTGCAGTCAGTGTTCCTTCATTGATTATCCTGAAGGTCACGGTGGGGTAGGGCGGGCCAATTTATGACCACCAATTAACCTAATGTGCATATCTCTGGATATGCGGGAGGAATCCTGAGTACCTGGAGGGAACCCACGTAGGCACGAGAACATGGAAACTCCACACAGAGGCCCCTGCCCACGGAGTCACAAGTGTGTCATGTTCAAAGTGGCCAGAAAGTCTTTATAAATAAACACAATACAAATTTACATCTGCAAATTCTTTATTTTCTTTTACTACAAGTATACAAAACTGGACAGACAAATCTATGAAAATGGATCTTATTTACAAAACAAAATTGCTGAAGGTGGAGAGGGGCTGGACAGGCATGCTGTGCTGGTTTTGAAGATCAGGAAAGACGTGGAACGTCACGCTGAAGACTGGACAGAGGCTGACTGGCTGGCAGGCTTATGGAAACTCCACACAGAGGCCCCGGCCCACGGAGTCACATGTGTGTCATGTTCAAAGTGGCCAGAAAGTCTTTATAAATTAAAAAAAAAAAAAAAAAAAAAAAAAAGGACAAAAAAATATAAAATCGATAAA